CCCCTCCAACCCATTCCATGGCTCTATCATCTTCAAGGACCCTTCCAACCCAACCACTCCATGGTTCTTTGAACTTTAAGGACACTTCCAACCCATTCCATGGCTCTATGATCCTAAGGAGCCTTCCAACCCAACCATTCTACAGTTCTGTGATATTTAAGGACCCTTCCAACCCATCCCATGGCTCTATGATCTTCAAAGACCCTTCCAACCCTAATATTCTATAGTGCTATGATCTTCAAGGACCCTTCCAACCCATTCCATGGCTCTATGATCTTCAAGGACCCTTCCACCCCAACCATTCCATGGTTCTATGATCTTTAAGGACCCCTCCAACCCATTCCATGGCTCTATGATCTTCAAGGACCCTTCCACCCCAACCATTCTACAGTTCTCTGATCTTTAAGGACCCCTCCAACCCATTCCATGGCTCTATCATCTTCAAGGACCCTTCCACCCCAACCATTCTACAGTTCTATGATCTTTAAGGACCCCTCCAACCCATTCCATGGCTCTATCATCTTCAAGGACCCTTCCAACCCAACCACTCCATGGTTCTACAATATGGAGGTCCCTTCCATCCCCACCCCCTCCATGACTCTACGATCACCCAGGCGCCCCACCTGAGGACAGCTCCCCTCCAAAAATCACCGCTTTGGCTCCTGACGTCGTTATGCAGTAAACCAGCGAATCCAAGCGCAGGTTGAAATTAATGAGGGCCGCTTCGATGCCGACTTTCGCCATCCCCAACCAGAGGCCGACGAACTCGGGGCGGCTCTCCATGAAGATGGCAATGACGTCCCCGAGGCGGAAGCCTTGCTGGTAGAAGAAATTGGCCACGGCGTTGGAATACTCGTCCAGCCACCGGAAGGTCCACTTCTCACCCGTGGCCTCGTAAATCAGGGCCACTTTGTCGGGGTGCCGGCGGACGACGTCCTGGAACATCTTGGGAATGGTGGTGTTGTTTTTTTGGTGCCGTCGTAGCTTGTACTTGACTCGCAACAGCACCGAGAGGCCGCTGAAGCAAAGAAAGAGAAGAAATAAGAAATCCAGCAGGATTTGCAGCATTTTCCAGAAGGAATTGCAACGTTCTCCGGAAGGAAATATGATGTTGGTACCGACATCAATGATTCTCTCTGTTGGGACACCCTTGGCGTTATCTGGAAGGCCACTAAGTTTCATGGATGGCTCTTGGTCTACTTTACAATCTTTGATATTGAAATTAATCCGTTTGTTATTGTTTTTTTTTCTTTAATATTGATGCTTCTGAGTCAAACACAGCACTGATTTCCATATGGGAACACGGACACGGTGTGTACCCCCCCTATGGGAGTCCCATTGGAATCCAACCCCTTGGACACCTCAACCACGCTGACACTGAACTTCGGATCGCTGCCGCTCTACGGAAAACGATGGCTTTTAGCATTATGGTAACAAAACTCACAAAAACACCAACGATTCTGGCACCTTCCATGCCTCAAACCAGGGGTGATCCATAAATCTGAACGTTGGTGTCAAATCAAAGCGGTGATGCTAAGCCACGGGTTGTTTTTTTTTTAAGGATATGAGTGGGGAAAAAAAGCTTTGCAATGATTGCTTTCACCTGGAAGGGAAATGTGACCTTACATAGGCAGCACCTCTCTTGCCAGGATGATTTTCAGCATTTTTGTGCTATTTATCCAGTTTTACGCCTTGGGATCTGTCATTATTTAAGTGACAGAGCCAGCATCACCACTCATAAAGCAAAGCAAGGAAGGAAACAAAGCCAACGGTTCCCCTTTCGGCCCTGGGATGGTCAGAGGGGATGAAGAAAACACAGATTTCAATGACCACGTAAGGAATGATGGATAATATATCAGAACAGCAGCACAGATTCTGCTCCCTTCTGGAGATGGGACCAAATGGAGGCAGCGCGGCGCGTTTCTCTTCCGCCAACATCAAAGAGGGAATTACTGCGCCACGAGACTTCGGAAGAACCCCCAGAAAACCCCAAACGTCGTTTAATGTCAGCCCTGAAAGAAACCCCCGCAGCTCTGAGTGTCAATGAGCACAGAGGGGAGGGGGAAGGGATCCCTCAAACGGAGCTGTTGGCCACGGTCGGGCTGCGCGGTGACCTTCCGCGGAGCGGTGCCAAGCGCGGAACAGAGGAGCCTTTTGTCTCATGAGCCACACTTTTCCAGATACTTAAAGGGTTTTATTCCGCCCGGTTTATTTTCTGCCATTCTTCCCAGCTCGCCGGGCAATCGGGAGGAAACAGCTCTTCAAGGCTCAGTGACAGCCGCGGCAAAGCCAGGCAGCGCTGGCCAGGGCAACGGCCTTAAATCCTTACAAATTCAAAGCACATCCACCCCCAAAAATGGGCTAAAAACTGCGGAAATCAGTGAGACACCCTCGACAGCTTCCAGGAATAACAGTGGCCTTTCCTCATGCTGCTCCCATCCCCGAATTTCACTCCTCAAAGGCAGAGTGGAGAGCAAGAAACATCCTCACATCACTGAGGCTCAGCGGCTGAACTGGACCGGCAGCAGTGCTGGCACTGGGGTGGAACTGGAAGCGTGGGGACGGCAGCGGGGTGGGTGTGGGATGGGCATCCTGCAGGGCAGCACGTCCTGGGGGCCAAGCACTGGGAATTAGGCAGCAGTTACTGGGCACTGGGTGTAGGGAACGGGGCACTGGGTGCCACGCGCTGGGCACTGGGCACCAGGTTGGGGATATGGGGCACTGGGCACCAGGT